CAAAAATTCTGTTGGATAATTAACCGCTTCATCTGCTTCCACAACATTGTCAACGGACTTGTATGTGACTGCCTCGCTTTGAATGTTAGACTGAATAATATTGTTAAATTCATAGACGTCTTTGTTCTTGGCTGCAAGAATAGCTCGTTCACTCAGCCAATCGTGATTCTTATAATTGGTTTGAATATTGGGAAATACTTTTTTCAACCAATTCTTCTTTTGACGTCACTAAATTGCAGAAGTTATGAGGCAATGAAATTCGTCCTGAGGTCAGATCAACCGGCACCTTTCAGTTCCCAATTTCCAGCAATTGATTTGAGAATATCTCAGCTGATCGATTGTTTTGCAGCTGGACACGCATATTTGTAGTTAATTTTAACGTCTTTAAGTGTCGCCACAAAGTAGAGTATTTCAGGCAAGCATTTATTTCGTCCGCTGGTGTTGATCGAGGAATTACAGGTAATGTTTGCCTGAAATCTCCTGCAAGCAATATTAATGCGTCCCCAAATGGTCTGATGTTTCCACGCAAATCTTGCAACGATCGATCAAGAGCCTCGAGCGATTTTTTTTGTGCGCCATTGTGCATTCATCCCAAACAATAAGTTTGCATTTCTGCAATACTTTTCCCATGCCGGATGCTTTGTGTAATTATGATAAGAAAAGAGGAGGCTCTACAGCAAATAATCCCATGTTTCAAATGATATTTTTACCATTCTGACATAATTAAAAACAATAACTTTATGAGAAAAAAAACATGCAGAATAGAGTTTAACAGTTCTTGTTGTCATGACTTTAAAAATTGTATTAGATATATGCACTGTCAGTTTTATATCATTTGTTAAATTTTCTCTAAGTGTATTAGGCTTAAAATTAACAATTAAGTCTAAAGTTTAGATTTTTTAAAGTTGTTTCATATTAAATTCATTTACAGCACCTCTTCTTCCATCAGTTCTGAAATCATGTAGGATCAAGGTACAAAAGTTGAATGGACGTAGACATCCAGTCCACTTTTTGTGTTGTATTCTGATGGATAGGAAGCAACTGATTTGCCAGGAATTGGCAATACCCTTCTGAGGTGTTTTTCTTGACATTTTAGTACATTTGACTGCTCTCCTGATTTCCTGGTCACTAATTCTAATAATTTGTATGAAAGCAGAGAATAATGCATAATAATATATTAATCCATAACTTAATTTTCAAGTTTTTCCCTAGTTTTTGTTCCAGCCTTGATTTTGCCACCAAGAGGTTTGGTTGACAGTTTAGTTGCTAGTATCAACATGTAGTAGTGGGTTGACAGTTTAGTTGCTGGTACCAAAGAGAATTCTCTTTTTGTACACCTTGTAAGTGCAAATTATTTTATAAACTATACACAGGAAGAGTTGCTTGAAAAGTATTAGGTCGTCAAGAAATTGTCACATTTTGGAACACTTTCATTAACCACCCCCCAAAAAACGTACATCACATATAATAGTAAAACGAATCACCTAAACATCACGTTACTTTAGTTTATATAGTGTCTAAAGTTTGGTATTCTCAAATCTCTTATAGTGATGGCACACAACAAAACACACATTCAGCATGTAATGCTGTTTGAATACTAGAAGGAAAGCAATGCCTCTGTAGCCACAAAGAATATCAAAGAAATTTATGGAAATGTTTTGAACGTTCATAAGTGTCAACGATGGTTCAGCAAATTTTGTTCAGGTGACATTAGCCTTAAAAACTGTGATGGTAGGAGCCGACATGTTGGAATTGAGTGGGACATAGCATATTACAGGGATATTTTTCTTCTGGTTGTCTGGAGGTTAGGTTCCTGGTTCGATGTGTGTGTATATTTTTATAGTCTTCAATTTTGTTTGGTTAAAGAGCTACCAAATAGAAAATCAGACCCCTCCTGCCACACCCACCAGTCACATCCTCTCTTCACACTTTGTTGATAGTTCTCTCTTATGTTTCATTATATATTTCCTATAACCAATAGAAAGTTTTAAGGATTACACAAAGGAAATTTGATATGAGGAAAAGTATTTTTAATTTTAACTTGAAAATTATTTTGCACACGGACTATTCTAAACAAATATACAATATATTCATGGACAAATCTTTATTTTATTTTATAAAAAAATACTTCACAAAGAAATATTACTTTTTGTATGTGAAAGGCTTATAATGTTTACTCAAAGATATACCCACTATATTGAGAGTTATAAGTATTAAATCTATAAAGACTTTAAACGAGTACAAATTGTCGTTTCAAGTTGACCGAGTCCGTATTGAGAGTGTTAAAGGCTCCTATAAAATTAAAGTTTTAGAGACTACACATAAGAAATTTGACAGTTTTCAGATGAAGAAAAGTGTTTTTAATCTTAACATGAAAATCACTTTGCACTTGGAGTAGACAATATTCTAACTGTATATTCACGGATAAATTTTTAGTAACAATACTTAATTAAGAAATTGATTTTTTTGTGTACTGAAAGCTTGCCAAATTTCTTAAAAATAGACAAAACATATTAAAAGTTATAGTGTGGAAATTGATGGTCACTTTGAGATTACAAGGCTGGTGTTATTCACCAAGCCAGTAATGAGAGGGAGAGTATAGTTTTATTGATATAATATGAAACAGCTGTGTTTGGATGGAATAATTTCTAGCTTCTCCTTAAAACTTCACAGTATTTCTGGGTACAACATTAAAGTACAAGGTGTTCGAAATGTCAGACGGTGAAGTGGTGATTTTGATTTTGTTGTATGTGGGTGTGTGTAGACAGGACAACCTGCAGAGAGATTTCAAATTTCTATATATTTTGAATTAAATCATGTTGTTTTCAATATTTTGCATATACTAGTCTACTGCATGTGTGTGTGTGTATATAGATATATCGACTGGTTAACATGTCAGTAGATTTTAACATCTGCATTACATATGATAAAGTAAATCATATTTTTAGTTTTGTATTACTGTGAAAGAAATTATTTCAATCAACATAGATATGTATGTATTTAGCCATTATAGTGAAAATAGAATAGTTAGCTACACAAATTTGTCATCGCTACTAGCCTGGAACTATTACATGGAAAAAAAAAGTTTGCTCCCCATAACCTAGAATTATGTAAGGACAATTTAAGTGAAGGAAACAATTCAGAAACACCAGAACTTAAAAGATTGTTATGCATTTTATAATATGATTTTACTTTATTAGTAGACAATAGAGTAGCAGTTAAAGTAATAGTTTGTGCAGTGATATCCTCATCAAGCCAGAAAGTACTTTTTGTGCAAACAGTTACTATAAATTTGAACTTGTACCTTTTAACACATTTTTCTATCTTATATCTCGTAATCTTGTGAAACTTGGAATTCTTACAGATTTTATCTATTTAAAACTAGTGAAGAAGATTCCTCCAAAGATAATTATGTGAAAGAATTAAAAAGTTCATGCAGTGGTGATATGTTGGGGCTTTAATCCTTTCTATTCTTATGAATTTTTATTGTAGAGTTGGTAAAATAATCCAATATTTAGTCATATGTACAATGTTAAAGTATTTTCCTATTAGGGTGAGTTAAGCAACTGTGCACAGGAAGAGGTTGAAAGAAATTTTGTTGAACTGTGAATTTAGTAGACTTGTTATACTGTAGATTTAGTTCTAGTAAAAAGTGAAACCGTATTTGATGCAGGTAAATCACTTGGAACCCTGGGAAAAAGGCAGTCGTAAAACTGCAGGACAGACAGGCATGTGTGGAGGAGTAAGTTTTTTCCATTTTGTCATAGAAAATATTAGTTTAAACTGGAATCAAGCTGATGTTTTAACCCTTTCCATACAGCTGTACCCCTTTAACGTTATGAATATGAGCTGGGTGGGATACACCCAGCTCATAACCACAAAAGTATCCATGAGAGTATTTATACTATTATTTTTTGATAATGTAAGCATATCTTTACAAAATTTTGCAGATTGTTAGTAAACATTACAAAGCTTTCATAAACAAAATATCTGGTTTTCAAATTAAGCATTAAGATTTTTTTATTAAAGATTTACTCATGAATTTTTTTCTTTCAGAATGTTGACTATCCAATGTGAAAAGTAATTGATTTTAAGATTAAAAAGTATTTTTCTTTATCTGAAAATTGTCAAGTTTCATTTGCATAATCTTTATATCCTTCTAGATAATCAACTGTTTTTTGAAATAAAATTATATTAAATCTATATGATGTTGGTCAATTTGACTGACCTTGAATCAATGTTCCTTCTAATTTTTCACTCCATTTGCACTGTATCAAGACAATGTGCGGATGTATGCTGCTGGTTTTTTTTTGGGGGGGGGTATTTTTAGACCATCGATCCTATTGGATCATTAGACTTCTTTGCAATGCTACCTGTTGGTTATTTGGGCCTTAGGCATATCAACTGCCAGGGTCATTAACCCTTTACCTACTGGGGCCATTTTGTCTTATCATGAGGGCAAAATCACATTTGTGAATTGAAAAAATTATAGAGAACTTATCTTTTATTGGATTTCAGATTTTAGAATTTATTTAGTAGGTTCTAGAGATTAGGCAAATAAAATTTGAGTTTTTTGAGACAAAGAAAAGTATTTTTAATCTTAACATGAAACTTAGCACTCATAGTAGTAATATTGTAGTATACACAAGTACTATCTATGTTTGTGGACAAATCTTTAGTAAAAATACTTCATCAAAAGCAATTTCTTATACCACTTTATCGTTCTTCATCTAATAGAATAGTGTAGTTTATGTGTTGGTCACTGAGGTTTTTGTAACCTTGGTATCCATCCCTGTTCTTGTCTCATTTTTCAGTTCATTGTATAGTTGTCAAAGTTCCATATTTAAAAACCTGCTTTCCTCTGTGTAAGTTTGTAGCTGCCATTTTCTTTGGGAAATTCTTTCCTACATAGGTTCCAACAGTCAGTAATTTGCCAAATAAATGATAGGAAGTATAAAATTTGTTCATGAAAATCCAGTTTCCAACTCTGTTTATTTGTCTATCAATTCCATCACAACTCCTGACATTTCTTCCTCTTTGCCTGGGTAGATATTAAACTTGAGACAGTAGTCCACTCAAGGCAAAGCATCTCCTGAACCCATTATTTGATACCCCACTTGACAGGTTTCTTTAGTAAATACATTTTGCACTATATATTTTTTTCATCTATGGATAGTTCTTAGGATGACAGTGGGTTATAAAGGATTTCGAAAGGTTCGTGACAGGTCCAACCTTGAAAACTTTATCATGGTTAGGATTAGTACTAAGAAGAGCATTAGTATTGATATTGAAATGTTAATAATTATGAATAGGGAAAAACCTATCCCTAGTTACCACATAAGTAAGCCAAGTAGTATGGAAAGGAAGATGGGTGGACCAGTAGTCAGAAAGAGAAGTAATATGTCTAAAACCCACAGCTATAATTAAAGCAAAATAAGCTAAAATATCCTGAATAGTAACATTAGTCCATTTAACAGATTTCTTTTTCCTAGGAGATGTATTCTGTTGTGGCAGTTTATCTCATTTACTATTAAACATAAAACTTCCATTATAAATGAAAAATTCATTAATAGTCACAAGTTGCATAGCTAGCCTGTTGGGACAGGTTCATCACTTAAGTGATGATATTTAGGTTTCTCCTCCGTGATGACTTTCACCCAGGTCCAGGTATATTTGCTGAGAAGGAGCAGTTACAGTAGAGGCTGCGCTTCTTCCCCTACTCTTTATAGCTGTGCCTCTTTCTCTTTCGTGATGTGACTTCTCATGGTGTGTTTGGTTGATTGAGGAACATACTCATCTGATGGGTTTTGACCAGCTACATCTTTAACTGTCTTTAAAATGGATTCAAGAAGAATTGGTTCAAGTTTTTATCTTAGCTTATATGTATATTTTGGTTAATGATAGTTTTGTATACAAAGAAAGCTTACTTTGTTCTTATCACTACATTTATCCAGCAGTTGGCTTATATAATAACAATTTGTATTCAGTTCTTTAAAATACTCTGAGTTTACGTATACTTAATGTACTTAAATTGAGGGGCAGTCAGCTGCCAGAAATAAAGAACTCTTTCACAGGTCCAAAAACTAGTTAATTAACTTCATTGATTGTTATTTGTGTTTTATATGGAATTTTTTATGATAACTGAAGTATTTGTAAATAAAAATAAACCTATGAAGTACCATATGTTCTTAGATGTTCCAGACACCCTGGTGAAACTTAAGTAATAATAGGAAAAAAACAATTGAATGAAGACTTAATCACTACTTTTTTATACACACACGCACACGTGTATATGTATAGGTTCGAGGAGTGGGTGCTGGTGGTATTGTATCAACGGCCTTTTGCATCTTGTACAAACTCTTTACCCTGAAACTTACAAGAAAACAGCTAAATGGCCTCCTTATTCACTGTGATTCACCTTATATTCGTGGATTAGGGTTCATGTATATCAGGTAAGAATGAAAATGTTACCACTAAATTCAGTTTCATAGCTAGATGTAATTAAATTTATTATTGGTGTTAATGTTGTAGAAAGAAATTTTGCTTAGATAAAGAAAGCAAAGTAGAACAACATACTCTCTTTTTTTATTTTTAGTAAGAGCATTATCTTTCAAAATATTAACATCTCATAAAAAGGTGAGGTTTTTTGCTGTATATGTTAACATACTTCTGTGTGAATATTTCTTTAAATTATGTTAAGAAAATTATGTAACTTTGTGAAGAATCAAATTCCATGTGATAATTATTGACTTTATAGTACTATTATTGTCACTTTTTTGTAATACTAATTCCATTTGTAAAATTTTGTTGGTTAATGCTTATGATAATAAAAAGGTTAGTTGGCCATAACACCACAACTTAATCATAAACTGATTAAAAGTTAATAGAAAAGTTTCATATTTTGTGAACCTAACATTCCGTTGAAAAATATTTTTACTGTGTTTAATTTATAATGTATATTAACTTCATAATGTTCAAGTAGGCAATTCTTTGAACAAAAAGCTTTTCCTCAAAGTCTGTGACTTACTACTAGTTTTGAGTCTGTGCTCAAATAAGTAGCTAGAGCATTTTTGAAAGAATAGACGATTCTAAGCTTTTACTTGTTAAATGTTTAAACAACTCTTATTTATTCAATTATGTACAAGCTGCCCAATGTCGGCTAACAATAAGAAGAATTCAATTGTGGTGGAATGCTACAAATTCTTCACATACCTACAGAATGATTTTTTTTTGTTGTGTGTGTGTGTGTAAGTGAGTGTAAAACACTTAAATACACCAGTTCGAAACAATTGGGACTATCTTGTAGTTTAATGTTCACAAGATTGTATCTTGGTACAGTCTGTAAAATAAAAAATTGTGTGTCATGTATGCTTTCACTGAAGATAAATAATCATTTGGATATTTTGGAGTAATATTTATGAAATATAATAATTTTCAGTTTGTATTTTAAGTTGTTATAGCATGCTGTTACAGCTCCTCATAATGTTTAGAAAAGTATTGTAAAAATAGTAGATGTATTGAGGTTGAAATATAGGATAAAATTACAACTGGTTATCAGGACAGACTAAAGTTAGATGTATTTATAAGAAATAATTTAAATTGATACAATAAGATAGAAGTTGGATCATGAATTGCAATTTTTGTTTCTTGTGTCATTGAGTTATGGCTGCATCTATGATGAATTTGGGAGAAATATTTTTTCTTTTAAACGTGAAACACTCCATTCTGTGTTGGACAGCTCAAGAATCCAGTTATATGTCATTGTTAAGTATCCTTATGGTAGATTATCCAGTGGACCATGGAATGATGACCTTTTGATATTTTTTGTAATATATTGATTATGAAATGCCTATTATATAATTAAAATATGCAAAACTATTAACAGTCATCTAAGCATATTTAGTAATATCAAAGTTTAAGGGTCCAGTTTGTATGTATGTTGTTTTTTAGTGTACATACAACTTTTTGTTTACTTAAGGTATACTCAACCTCCAGCAGACTTGTGGGACTGGTTTGAGCCATATCTTGAAGACAAGGAAGTAAGTGTTAATTATTATAAAGGTTTAAGTGAGTTACATTCAAAACCAAAACTACTTTGTATGTTTTACCCAAAGCTTTTCATGTTCTGCATAGATACACTTAGTAAATTTGGAATAACAATCAGTTTCTTTTCAAATGGACTGAGCTCGTGTATCATTCTGTTAATTTCTTTACAACCTGGAATATAGTGATGTTTTTGGCTCATTCACAAAAGTTAGGGTAATCCTTTTTTTTTTGTTCTGTTATGTTGAGCCAGTTCTACTTTTCTTGTTACCTCAGATTTTTTCTTTTTTCTTGAATGACAAATTAATTTCTAAGTTTGATAATGTTTTTTAAAAGTCAAACCTTTCTTTAGATCATTTCCAGTCCTTGTTTTTGCATCAGGCATGGGGGCCTTCATTTGCTTTACTTTGGTTTGGGTTACTGTGTTGATATGCATGTGATGGAAACAAGACTATTTTGTACATTTCATTTTGATTAGCTGGGCTACAAGGTGAAATATTTGTATTTGATTAGATTTGATATCAAATGGTTATTCTTAATAATATAATTTTCTGTAGTCAATGAGTGCAAGTTTCTCATTTCTGTGATCTTGATATACTGAGTGAATAGTAAGCAAATGTAAGAGTTTACCAATGCTTGTATTTTACCGTATGGTTTTAAATGTTTATAACATATCCACTTAAAGTTTATAAGAATATTATTTCTTATTTGAGTAAATGTAATTTATTTTAATTTCCTCAACTTCATATCAGATAAAGTAGTTGACTGTATGAAAAGTTATTGGTACTTTATTTCTGTTAACTTTATTGTGACTGATTTGTGTTTAACATCTTTGTGATGTTAATAAAGACCTTATTGATTGTTAGTTTGGTGTTCATTCATCAGGTGTTGATGGCATGTTTGAAGCACTGGCTGAAATTGGTTCAACTGCAATGAAAGAAAATAAAATGAAATAATTTTTAAATATTATCAAGATTTTAAAATAAAAAGTATGTCAAGAATTTAATAAATTAATTCAAACAAAATTGGTAATGAATGTTACTAGACCATTGTCAGAAGTAAACCTGTAATTCAAAGAAATAATACACAGATCAATATACTTATGGTTTGTGGCAGATTTTCTAGTAAATGAAAACTCGGATAATTCAAGCCTAGATTTTAAATTTGATTAACTTTCTGTTTTTGGAGATCAAGTCCGTTATTTGTGGCAAACCAAGGAGAGCAAATAATTTAGGAATTGTTTACATTTGTGAGGGTCAGTTTCACAATTGCTTCATAAACCATTCAAAAGTTGAGTCGCAGACACCAGCTTTTACTGAGTATAGTCAGCTGATGTAAATTTTTATTTCCAGAAAATGTTGCTTTTTCGAATTCTTGTGCATCCTACTGGTTTTTTTACATTCTCACAGTAAAATTAATAAACCAAATTACCCTAAACTTGGGACAAGCTTTTCAAATAGTATCTAGTTTCTGCATGAAAATAGAACCATTGTTCAGTACGTGAATAATTTTGTTGGTTATAAAGTTTTTGTAATTTTTTTTTTCTAAACTGCTGTTGTAAAAAAAACAACTTTCATCTTACTTTTTTCTTTCATTAAGCATCAAGAAGTTTCATTCTATACATCTAATCAGTTTTAACTTGTTTAGTATTCATTAAATATTTATTTTCATACTTTTAATTTTGCTGGCTGAATCCATTTACTTCCCCCTATAAATCATACAAATGTTGCAAAAACTGATATTTATCAGTTACCACTGACAACCTCATTTTTCAAAATGGTGTCACTGTTACAGTTATAGACAACAATATTTTTTTTAGGTTATGATAAACTAATATCTCATTTTTTATAATAATATTGACTGTTTATTTCTCTGTAGATCAGTAGTCAGTTTACAGATTTATATTATCAAAAATTGGGGTTCATTTCATTGTTGTAGACAGAATGCAGATAACCCTCTGTGTAGCTCTAACTGTGTAACTAATACTGTTACATCTAGTCTGAATACTCAGAATAATGCCTAGATTATCAACTGTTAAAAAAAAAGACAGTGCCCTTTAACCTGACCACATTTGGTTACTTCATTGTGAAGTAGGTTATGTTCTTGTCATATTTTATTCCAAAAATAAAACTAATAGATAAAATTGTTTCAAGCTTGACAGAAGCTTTTTTAAAGGCATGTACTGTAGTTTCAGGAAAGTAAAATCTTAATTTTTCTACCAAAAATTCATTATTTAATGTAATTATTTGCACTCGTACTGTGAATAGTTCAAGTGTGAGGTGATTTTAGTGTTAAGTTGAAAAATGTTATTTTTTTTCATCTTACAGGTTTCAGATTTCATTTGCATAATCTTTAGAACCTCTTAAATGAATATAAAGTTTTTTTTAAGGTAAATGTCTGTATTTTATTTTTCATTTTCTCTATCATATCAGTAATTGTAGCTGTTATCATCAGCTTACAATGCAATGAAATGTTTAGAATTAAGAAATAATAATAGAAACATTTACATACCTTTTAGTTTTTTATGGAATAATCTTAAAAGATGATTTTTTTGGCTACATTTGTAATTTCACATTTTTACTTTTTTACATATATTTTTTAAGGTTTTATTTTCCTTTCCTGTCCTTTACCATTTATTATTTAACTTGACACATGTCAACAGGTGCCCTTGTGTACTAACCTAACCCTCACAAATCAAGGTGAAGTTTGGGTTACATTTAAAAAATTAGTAAACCTTTCAAATATGCATTTTAAAATATAAATGATACATAAGTAACTAAAACATAAAAGTAAAACCGAAATACAGTTTAACTATCTATATGTAGCTAGGTGAGAAACAATGCTAAGTGTTAGCAAGAATGAAAGTAGCAACAATACTATCAGTTGTTAGATGTACTTGGCAACAATTACTGAATGCCAGTTTTAAAATAAACATTGGGAGATTGTAATTTAAAATTAGCTCGTTTTATTGGTTATAAATGTACATCAAATAAGTATGCATGGCTGGTAAGTCTTAAGTTTTAAGTATAGAAGGTGGGTGTGGCTTCTGTTAGGGGTTAGGAAAATTTATCTTTTGTGGTCAATGAATTGACCCAAAGGAATTTGAAACAAACGCACACACGTAAATAGCACAGTTTACTTAGTTTCTGTCTAGATGTACAAGTACACTGGAGAAGTATTAGTATTCAAGTTACAGAGACCAAAAGTTAAGATTTGTGAATTCTTGTGCATCATGTTTTAACAAAATTGTAATTTTAGTTATTTTTATTTAAAGGTTTCTTTTGAAATAAAGGAATTGAAACTTCGATAATACAAGACTTTGAATTATAAAGTACATGATAATACTAATTTCATTTATAGTAAAGTTGTTTAATTAAATTTTTAATATAACTCGGTAAAACCTTGTGACATGTGCAGAAAATGGTTAATGGGCACTGGCTAATCACTAGAACTCACTGACATATAGCCAACCTGCCACTGCTAATTTCAAGCACTGTTAGTGTCTAAGTCTTGTTTCATAAATATTGCTCATATTAGCCAGGTTTTTGAATTTTGACTTAATTCAATGTAAGCAAAAAAAAATTCAGCTGGACCACTTGCATGTAATTTTAATTTTGAAGTGTTTAGTATAGCATAGTTTCTAATTCATAACTAGATATCATTATGTAATTTGTACATTTGTTGTAACTTTAAGGAAAATGTCATTTTATTTTTTAGGAGATTGATGTAAAGGCAGGTGGTGGTCAAGTGATGACTATTGGAGAAGTAGTACGTCACATGTTGTCGAAGTTAGAGTGGTTCACTACCTTGTTTCCACGAATTCCTGTGCCTATACAAAAAGATATTGAAAAAAAACTAAGTACAGTGAAGCCTTTGTCACGTGTTCCAGCATTCTCTGCTGTAACCACAGAGACTGATCAAGAAGATGGGTGGCAACAAACGAGATCGAATCAGTCTTTCACAGACGACAATCCAAGGAGGTACGTGTTTCAGGTACAGTAAACTTTGGTGCTTACAATTCTTCTATTCAATTTTCAATATTGGATTGTATGTGATTAAAATATCATGAAGTTATTTTTAATATAAAAAAATTGTACTGTAAGTTTTCATGAAAAATAAAATTAGACTAACCTTGGATGCTGTTTATGGCATTGGATCTGTTATCATTTGATCATAACAAGCTGTTTTCAAACATCAAATTGAAAATTCACTAAGAAATGAGTATTAAACAAAGTATATTGAAGTCTTAAGCTTATCTTACCAAAGCATCTTTTTTTCAATTCTTCTTAGTAAAACCAAAATATTTTTGTTAGACAAGAACAAAAAAATTATTTCTGGGGAACTTAGATTCAATTTATAAAAGTATATCTGTAAAGTGAAAATATTAGATACTCTCCAAAAGGTAAGTTGAAATATTGTCTTTGCTAGGTAAAAATTATCTGTACCAACTCTATTGTTTAATTAAACAAGTCCATATTTATTTATAAATAGAATTCCAATACTTGTTATGGTAGATAACGTTTAATTTATTAGTTACCTGAAGCTGCTGTTTTTGAATGGCTTTTTATAAATAAGTAGTCAATCAAGAGCTTAACATATTGTATACTAAAGTACAAGATTACAAGTTATCTCTTTATTAGCAAATAATGGTATATCTTTTATTCCAACATATTTCTTGGATACGTTCAAATTTTAATTTCAGTCTTTTTCAGCTATTAGGCCACCTGCTGTTAACATAGCCTACAACATGCAGCTGCTCCTATTTCACCATGATGTTGAAAAGGGATTTTAGTAGGGTAGGGAAGAGAGAACTGTAAAGAATGAAAATACTTACAAGTGTTAAATGTTTAAAAATTGACAGGATAATCATTGCCAATTACACAGTTCCCAATCTCTAATTGATAAGATATTGATTTGCTGCAGTGCAACAGTGTTGTGAACATGGACATGTAAATTTATTAAAGCTTCATATGAAATTGATGAGAACATGCCCAGTAAATTGAATTCAAGAAAGGAATTGGATTCTAATCACTAACAAATATTTCTTGCTTTAAATTACACTGGACAACAAAAATAAAATTTTCTCTGCTACCAGAAAAAAATACAACTATTTCTGAGTAATTTGATGCTGATTCTAAAAATCATGTTGAAAATTACTGGCCACCTTTAGTTTTAAAGTTATGATAGATTTATTCAAAATATTCTTTTATATCGTGAAAATAACTTTTTCTGTTAATAACTTTATTCATTCATTCAAAATTGCATTAAAGAATGTTCAAAACAGTACATAATAGCAATACCAGTTTAAAAAGCAATGAGTATAATAAGATTATATACTGAAAATACATTCAGGCTATGTTCATCATGGTATTTTTTATTTTGTGTTGCCAAAAATCTGCTTGACTTGTTGCACCTTTCGTGTGTGTTCTCAGTTTCACATTGTAAGAACCAACAGTAATCTCCCATCATTGCAGGAATCCATCGTCCTTGATACCTCTGTTCCATTGTAGAAATATCTTGGTGGAAGCACTCATTGCACTTAGATCATTTGAAAAGAAGTCTAAATGGGAGTGTAAGAAGTGCATCTTTGGTGACATCCTAGACCCCATTTTCCTGTAGTTCTTGAGCATATCACCATTCATCACAGCATAGTTTTCATCTCTGTGATATCCTTAGAAATATTTAACAACGAGCTTGAATGATTTCCAGCCAGTAAGTTCTTTCTGATTGAGTACTGTTTCAAAATCATCATTCGTCAGCACTTTCTGAATCTGTGGCCTAACAAAGCTACCTCTTTTCATTTTTCTTCATTGATTTTTGGAAGCTTATCACATAGATATCTGAAACCATTAGCATTTTTGTTCATTCTTTTTACAAAATTCTTCATGAGTCTCAGTTTAATATGAAGTAAGGGCAGAAACACATTTTGAGGATTCACTAAAAGTTGATACTTGATATTCTGTTTCCCTTGTATGTAATTTTCTCTCATCGGCCATTTCATCTTTTTCAAATGATTTTTATCATCTCGTCTGTTCCAGAGACACAAAAAACAACAATGTTTAATATATCCACTCTACAGGCCTAACAGTAGTCCAATAACTTTTTGATCACCACATATGTTCCACCTATGGATGCCCTCAAATATAATCTGCATGAGCAACAGGAATCAATGAATGAGTGTGCCCATTGTGCAAAAGTGCAGCTTTCGGACTAAAATTAGGTGAGTTGATAAAAAGTTGAGGATGGTGTTCATTATCTAATTCTTCCATTAGTGCATCAACATTTGTACAGAAACCTAAAATATCTTGCATATTGTAGTGAGAAGCAAGACTTTGATGGTGGCTTTGGTAAATTGAAATTCTTATTCCTGGAGCTAATAAATTCCATTGCCATAAAGAAGAGTCAAGAAGTTCTCCATGATGCTTTGATAGAGACAAGTGACAAATCAGATCATTTATCTCTTTTTGTGATCAGATGAAGCAGCTTATGTTGAGGTGTCTCAGGAATAAAATTACCAGATGAAGAGGATAAAGATGATTCATTCTCTTCTTTGCAGGATAACTCTACTGTTTCCCAATTCATAGGTAGATGTAGAACTTGAAGACTATTCTCATGAGGTACAGGTTTCATTGCAGATGCAATATCTGGATATTAAATGTATTGTTTACTTTTGCCTGAATATCCAGAAACATTAGTCGTGCAAAAATAACTGTCAGTTAGATGACCTGTGGGCTCATGCCATATCAAAGGAACTGCAACTGGCATACTTGTTTTCTTCTTATTCATCCACTGTGTCAAGCCAGATGTTCAAACTGTACAACACGTGTGGAATCCAATGTTTTTCTTGGTCCCCAGTTTTACACCCAAAATAGTTGTAGTAAGCTACCTTTTATGTTATGTTTTCTTTCATGAAGCTGTAATATATTTCCCATAAATGTAGTAGAAACTTTGGGTGATTTTTGCACTTTCAGACTTTATTTGAACTGGAGAAAGTGAGCATTGCAAATGTTTTTCTGTGCACGAAATGAGGCTAAGAGACCAACTGAGTGAAAGAGAGGTGAGCATGGGAATGAAGCAAAAGTGATGCAATTCACTACAATTATATCGTGAACAAATAGCATATATGAACAATATATTTGATATTTTACACTAATTCAATACAGTCAGTGTTTGAAGATATCAAAAATGTAAGCCTTTAACCCATTAAACTGTCCAACTAAACTTAATTTCATGGCATAAATCTATTGTACTTAGTTGATTACATGGTATTTCCCATAGAGCTGATAAAATATGGAGATATTATAATAACTCAAAATCTAGATGTGATGGACAAATTCTGACTACATTTTTGAAATCATCACCATCAAATTACCCCTGATTATTTGAGTTTTTGCCAGTAACAAATTGTTTGTTCACCAGTGTTATTTATGTCACCAGTAAAAGGTTATCATGCTGAAACTTAAAAGCATAGGAGCGTATGTACAGATACAATAATACTTACCTAATTAAGACAGTTAAGTGAACTTGACACAACTGAATCCTGTAAGAGAAAAGAAAATTTAAAAACTTAAGAAGTAATGTAATATTTGATATTCCTTATAATAAAAAAAATATATGTCGTAATTCATTATAATCATACACTACATGCATTCATCAATAAAACGTTAATTTTATATTCAAATTTAAAAAATACTTTTATGCAGATAAATAAAATTAGTCTTTGTGCAATATTATTTTTAATGTATAAATAAGATTATATGTTGTTATATCTGAAGAAATGTTTCTCGTATCATTCTTTTGTAATGTATACAATATATTTTTTTTTCATACAAATTAAGTAATGGCAAGAGCAAATTTAATATGTAAGTGAAACTTTGTGACATAACATAATTAATGTGAAAATATTCGTTCTGAATATATCAAAGACCACAGTGTAATAAGTTATAAAGAAATGTGGATAAGAAATTGTAATCATCAGAAATGTACTAATTTATTGTTCATCTTCATTCACATAACTTGTGTCAAGTTTACATATACTGAAAATTTAAAACTGGTTACTTATTTGTCACCAGTAAGTCATATTTATTAACAGATGTGTTTCATACAGGCCTACTCTTTAAAACCACAAATACACGTTTTGTATGAATTACAATAGAAGTGATGAGATTAAATGGAAAGTTACTTCTATTATCTTATAATGTAGTAATTGATGCATATCTTGACTCTTTTTTTTAAGTAAACTGAATGAATATTGCATTTAATAAGAATGATGTTCAATGTCACTCGTTATCTTTTGAACTACTTCCTCCTCCATAAAATGTCATTCTGATGGTTATGATTGCACGCTACAGCCTAAACCAGAATTTCCATTGCGAAAATTTTCTACAAAAACTTTGCACAGAAGTTTGTGTGTACACATTTGTGTAACTTCACATATATCAGAAAAAAGAAATAGCTTGAACCCATTTTCTCCTTCCACTGTTTGTAGAAATGCCAATATGGAATTCATCATGACTTGAAACTTTATCCTGATGTAGCCATACCTTCATGGTATCTTGACCAATATAGTTCAGGAATTTCATATTACAAAATTGGTATATATATCCTCTTTATGGTAACTATGGTTCATCTTTGCTTTACTCTGCACTATATGACATGTACCTTCAACAACAAGTCCACCTGTAGTGGCAATGCACTGTCAGATTTTTGAGAATTTGCTATGGACCATATTTACAAGAGCTAACCATGTCCGTGTAGCCACGGCTCACAGCTGCAGCAACATTCCATTCCATTAAGATGTACAACTCATTCTTATAAAGTGCAGTTATTCCTCATTATTAATGGTATATTGTGCCTCTATATATAGTTTTTCTGATTTTCAGGTAACTGCTTTACTTTTGGCAATCTGTGATTCACAGGTAATTTGAGGTGTATCTTAACTCTTTTTGTCCATTGATGGAATGATTTTTCGGGTTATGGACATGTCACATCCCAAAAATTTCATGAGAAAATGTGTGCCTTCAATCGACATGTAGGATTTTCCTGTGACTTATACCCTATAGATATATATATGTTATAAGTAGCTAATGTGTGAACCTAAACAGAATGAAATTTACTTCACTCTAATGATTATCTGAACTTTCATTCAGAAAAGAAAATGACTGCAAGACCACAAAAGAGCAATTTCAAGACCCTGTAGACTTTGCTGATGAATTAGCTAAAGAAAAAGAGAGGCAGAAGAAAGAGAAGGACAAGCACAGTTACAGCAAAGAAGTCTCACATCACAGGTAAGCATATTATGTTTCTAGTTGGTGACTGTCAGAATGACGGTATTCTGATGTTGTTTAATAGGACGTGTTTTTATTATGTCTTGTTAGAGAGATACTGTTTTCCTATTGTTTCTTCTTCTTTCTTCCAAACACTTTTCAATTGACTGCCATTCCTTCATTTCTTGGCAGATTGACTTGAAGCTTGGTAGAGTTGTATCTTTTTCCAATATGCCTAGACACCTTTTTATTTTTTTCATTTAGGCCTTTTTAATGATTTTATGGGATCAGAGTTTAAGCAACCACAAACTGTATATTTTGGGCTCCGGTGCAATCATAATTATAGTAATCAAGATGAAAATTGGCACAGATATACATTTTCATGAACCCAACACGTTGACATAACAAAAGTTGAATTAGCCCATTTTAAAGGGGGGGGGGTCAGAGCTCACAAAAAGTATAATTTTGGAGTTTTTGGTCAATTACTTTGGCTGTATTTTGACCAATTTGTATGGTGAGATTTTGTGCTTTTCTACAGGTCCCATACATATACATAAAAATGTGGGATATGCCCATTTTAGGGAGGTCAATAGGTTACATAAACCCCATAATTTCAGAGGTTTTGGACAGTAACTTAGCCTTGTTTACATGGAATTTGGTACAAAGATACTTTTCAACAGGAAACACACATTGACAAACAAAAATATTGGACTTGACTGTATTTTGGCCAATTTACATGGAATTTGATACAGAGATACTTTTTTTACAGGTCTCAAACAGAGATACAGACAAGTTTTGTATTTTGCTCAATTTTTCAGCAAGGACTGCACAATTTGGGGGTTTTCATTAACTATTCATGTTTGTGTTAACTAACTTGCATGGACTTTGGTACAAAGATACCTTTTTGCAGTTCCCAAGCAGTGATATAGACAGTTTCGATTTTGTTGTGTTTTTCACAGTTTTTCTTGTATCAAAATTAGCCATGTTTGGATTGCATGGTGGAAACTTGTTGCAATTTTCTCCAGTATTATGCGAAGAGAAAAAAAAATCCAGTCTGCAGAATACATGTACTTTAATACCACCTTTGTAATTTAAAACTTTTGCTACAGGCATCTTTTTCCATGCATGTCATGAGGTTTTAGTGAGTTACACTCAAAATTTAATTAAACTACTATTTTAATCATGGTATACAAATAAATATGGCATAAAAATGTAGCCAGTAATCCAAATTTTAATGGTATATATGTTTCAAGTTCATAATTTTATAAGGCAATATAAAAAAAAACTCATTTTCCCCTGGTATGAGAATTGTGATATTTGCTCTCTAGGTACTCCCTCATCTGTAGTTTATCTACCACCCCTCTGAGAAGTATGAAATTTAACCCTTTCGTGTCAGGCTCATACAATTTTCAGAAATCAAGTCACAAGTTTCACTTGTATAACAATACATGTGGTAACTCTGAGATTTCTTAATCTATTCTCACAAAAACTGTTAAGATTTTGTTAAAGATCATAAGTATCTTGTACACAAAGAATAATGTTATTTTTCTATTGTATTTAATACTCTCAAACTATTAACAAATCGAGTGCAAGGTGATTTTCATTTTACATATAAAAATACCTTCCTTTGTCATAAAGTTTTCATATTTCATTTGCATAAGCCCCTCAGTGGCACAGCGATATGTCTGCAGACTTACAAAGCTAAAATCCAGGTTTTGATACCCGTGGTGGGCAGAGTACAGATAACCCATTGTGTAGCTTTGTGCTTAATTACAAACAAACAATCATTTGCATAATCTCTAGAACCTCCTGAAAGGATATCTAAAGTTCTTTTTTAAGGTAAATGTTTATATTTTAATTTTCGTGACCATATTACTAACTGTGGCTATTAACATCAATGTATGTACAATGCAATGAAATAATGAAAGTTAGGAAATAGAAAAAAAAAATACATACCTTTTAATTTTTGTGTAGAATATCTTTAAAGTTCTTTTTAAATTCATAATTTCAGGTATTTTCACATATAGTTAATTTTTATTGTTCTATTTTCCTTGTATTTTACCACTTATTCATATCGACACAAGTCAACAATGCCCCCTGAGGCATATTACAGTGTCTTTGGGAAATATGCACAACCCTTTGGCAAAATTTTTGTGCATAATATCATAAGCCTTGAGAATGAAAGTTAGGAAATGGAAAAAATATACATACCTTTAAATTTTTGTGTAGAATATCTTTTAAAGCCTTGAGAATGGATGCAAGGTATGATGTATATTTTAAAACATAACTAAAATATAATAGTAAGACCTAAATACAATTTAACCCTTTTGCAATGGGTTTGGTATAAAATTCTTGAGTTCATATACACATTTGCACACATTAAGTATTTATACTATAACTCTTAATGAAGTATGTGTATCTTCACAAAATTTGGTAGATTTTTAGTAAACATTACAAGTCTTTTGTACACAAAAAATGATATTTTTTTAATGAAGTATTTTTACTAAAGATTTGTTTCTGAATATATCTGTTTTATTACCAGTCTCAAATATCATTTATATAATCTCTAAAACCTCCTAAATACATTTCAAACATTTGTTTTCAGTAAAACTATATTTTATCTGTTATTCTCTCTACCCAAACTGTATATGGGGTCAGTCAATTTAAAGGGGCACCTGTTGTGAAAGGGTTAACATAAATTATTCATTATCATATTGTAATTGTTCAGATATAGGATAATTTTTATATGTTTCAATCTTATTTGGTTACAGAGCCATAAACTAGAAAATCAGACCCTTCTTGCCACTTGTCTGCGTGGCAGGAGGGGTCTGATTTTCTATTCGATAGCTCTGTAACCAAACAAAATTGAAGGTTAAAATGCTAAGACAAAATATGTCACGTGTGTCGGACTAGTGGAAATTCAGGATTATTTAAAAGATTGCCTTGTAGAATTAAGAACATAAAGCTTTTTTCCTATTAAAATATGGATTATTAGCTAAGATTTTATGCTATTCTAGTTGGTACAACAAACAAAAAGTAGTTTTATAAAATTTTGAATGTAAAACACTAAAACCTTGTTTCATACGCAGTAAAGGATATCTAAGCTCGTCGACGCGTTTCCTGTGGGAATAAAGTTTGAACTGGAAATGAAATAGACAATTCTCTCTATAGAAACAATGTAATATAATACATCATTTGATAGATTAAAACCTAGGCTTTCCATTGGTTATAAATAATACAGTATTAAATATCGGAAAGAACTATTGGCAATTTGTCAGATACCTGTCACATCCTGTCTTTCAGCATTCGTTAATAGTTCTCTTACGTTTAATTATATATTACCTATAACCAATAGAAGTTCAAGGTTTTCATCTATCAAATGAAATATTGTATAACGTCATGTTCTGAACAGTTAGATGTCAATATCACTCAGAGTACCAACATTGTTCCCGTGAAAAAGTTAACGGCTAGCTTGAATGAATTTGTAACATCTCTTGTCGCACAGTTAGAAAGCCAGAAAATTTTTGAGAGGTAAGGGAATTTGTCCACTTTTTGTATGTTATTAGTCTATATTCTTTGGTGCATTATTTTATTGAATAAAAATTATTAAGTGCATTAGTATATAAAATTAGGTTAACACTCTTTGAAAACTGATAGCAAGAAAAAAGATTAAGTATTTTTTCTTGTTCTTCATGTTTATTCCTTACGTACAATTATAGAAGTGACTAAAATGTAAAAGTTGGGAGCCTTTTAGGTTTGTTAAGATTAGATTAAGTAAAATAAATAATAATAATATTATAATAAAAATGTTTTACGGGGCACACAAGCAAGCAGCTTGTGGGTAATGTAATTTGTTAGCGTAATGTGAGCTGCATGTTCCCCAAGTGATTTACAACTTATAATGTTGCAAATAGTAATTAGACATGGTTCAAAGGGCAATAAAACAATAAAATTTTATTATAAATAGACGTGTACTATTGCAAACTTAAGAGCTAAACGAATGTAGTTTCATGTTACAATTTGGAATCATTTTAGAAAGAAAAAAGAAACAAATATCCAATATATTCATGTACAAATCTTTATTTTATTAAAAATACTTTTTCACTAAAAATTATGATTTTTTTTGTATGTGAAAGACTTGTGATATTAACTAAAAGACTGCCAAATTTTATGAAGATATACACAATATATTGAAAGTTAGAAGTATTAAATCTATAAAAACTTTAAATGAGTACAAAGAGATCACGTGGTCAGTCAAATTGACCAAACCCATGTTGAGAGAGTTAATGGCTCTTGTCTCATAATTAGAAAGCCGGAAAAATTGTGATGGTTAGTTATAGAATATTGTCTGCTTCTTATGTATTCTTTGGTACATCATTTAATTAAATACAAAAATTTAGTGCAACAGTATCATTAGTATAAAAAAGTAGGGTTAAGTTTCATCAAGAGTCATCAGCAATAGATTAGACCCAGGTAAGTTCTATATTTCTTTTTTTTTCTTGTTGATTCTTTATTTGTTATTATAAAAGTAACTAAAATGTAAAAAATTAGAAACTTCTTAGGTTAAATTAGGTAAAACATGTGATAATATTTTTTGCGAGGTATGCTCACAAGCCTGTGTGTTACATAATTTGATAGGGTGTTGTGTGCTGCATGCTTGACAAGTGATTTACAACTTGTATTGCAGGAATATTAGTTTACAGTGCAATGAAAAATAAAATTTAAGTAGAAACAGGCATATATACTTTGAATTTAAAGCTATTTAATATAAACAAATGTAATTTCATGTTACAGTTTGAAGCCATTCTAAAAAGGGTAACTTTTTTTTTTTTATGGTGGTTATGAGCTCAATATTTCATTGTTTTTGGTTGATATTTCAGAAGTAGGAGTCCACACAGAAGCCACAAATCCAGCAAACATCACCGTGATAATGAGAAAGACAGGCGTGAGGAAAGGGATCGTCCCAGACATAGAGAGCGACATCATTCCAGAGACCGAGCTAGACGTTCAGGAGATCGTGCTTCTGAACATAGATTATCTAGAGAGCGGGATGTAGTTAGACCCAAGTACTCCAGAGATAAAGACAGTGACAGACACTCATCTCGTGAACACAGATCTTCAAGAGACCGTGACAGGAATCATGGCAAGGAAAAGGGTTCATCACACAGCCATAGATAAATACTTTTACCTTGAAAAAAAAACTTTTTTTTTGTACATACTGAAGATTTTATGTCAATTGTAGGATAGACTTCATTTTATTGTTTTCAAAGATCTAAGCAATGTCATATTGACCCATTTTACTTAAATAAACAGTTGTTATTTCAATCTTCATTTAGATTTATCATCCATTTTTGCTTATGTATGACATCTTTATGATGCACTTTAAATAAACAGAATCAAGATATAGTTTTAAAATATATCTTGCAAAACAAACATAATTCATTATCATTAGGAAAAATATTTCTTTGGAGATCTGAGTTATTTATTGTAACAGTTGCCTGTTTTTTCCATGATAATACAGACCACATATCCCAGGTACGTGTCAGCTGGAATAGTCTGCTGAATATTTTAATATACTTAAAGAAATAATAGTAAGTTATTTCTACCCATGGTAAGACTTTTCATGTGTGTGTGTGAATAACTGTCTGAATCATTTAATTCTGTACAACTACTTTATGTGTGTAGAAAAATTTCATATATTATTACAAGTAAGCTTTGAGTATATTACCCGACTAAATTATTAGAACATTCCTACGTATATGTCTACAATCAGAACATAAATACATATCAGTTTTTGGCTGTAAATATGAAGAAAGCAGTACTGTCTGGTAATAGGTAAAATCATGGGACTTTTGCTGTTTGTCATTGTTATAGTTATAACTGTAGCAAGTGTACATTTATCAAACCAGTTTCTTAAATGAAGAACATTGTATAGATTTGAAATTTTACTGGACACTAGGTGTTAAAGGCATGCTTAACTGCTAGTTATCATAGTTTGGCTATCTGCCCTAGCCGTCCCTAATTTAGCAGTGTAAGACTAGAGGGAAGGCAGGTAGTCATCACCACCCACCGCCAACTCTTGGGCTACTCTTTTTGCCAACGAATAGTCACATGATAACACCCCCACAGCTGAAAGGGGCGAGCATGTTTGGTGTGACGGAGATTCGAACTTGCAACTTTCAGATTACAAGTCGAGCGCCCCCTGGCCATGCCGGGTCTAGTTATCGTAGTCAAAGGATGAATTGATTTAGAATCAGTTAAGGATCATAAACATTTGGCCAAGTGAATAACATTCGATATACTCTTGCTTATATATTCCAGCTGTTTCATGCTAATTACTCCTTGAAAAATGTTTAGAAAACATTCAGATCTATGACTTAATACTAGATATTTAACTTGGATTAGAATTAAGCTGGTAAAACGTTTCATTTACTGCAGTGATCGTTTAGGATTGTTCTTCTACCCCAACCACTATTCAAATTTATAGTAGGTTGTAACCATGAAAACACAAGAATTGCTAAACATCAATTTAAAGCAAAGAACTTGTATGTTGGTCCCTGGTTGTAGGTGCATGACTCTGCAAAACACATTGAGCTATAAACAATCACTTTTTTTTCATATTTATATTAGACAAAAGAATTTGTAAAAATAAGATATAAAGTACTAACTTCTTAAATCGTTAGCCCTCCAGTGGCACAGTGATAAGTCTGCAAGTTTATAACACTAGAAACTGGGTCTTTATACCCCTGGTGAGCACAGATAGCTCATTGTGTAGCTTTATGCTTAACAAACTCAACTCATTAAAATAGTAATTTCTTTTATAGTTTCACTGTGGAGTTTCGTTTGTTTTTTCCACTTTTTAATCTTGATGGCATGATCAAAATTACTGTTGTGTGGGTCACCCAAATTTTGTCTATTCAAACTGAATTTGAGCTTCAGAAATGAGTTTTGGATTAACTTGTAAACTTTAAGATGTCAATGCTTTAGTTTGTGATTAAATATCAACTGCCTCAAAATCCTTATAAACAAGTCATCTTGAGTTTTAGTAGCTCAAATTTTGTGCACTGCTATTTCATCACATGGTGCAGTTATTCAAGGAACTTAAATTTCAAAATGCATTTTTTTTATTTCCCATTGATATGTTTGATCATCTTTAAGTGTTCCTGAATTATTTGGCTAACACTACTAATATCTGAAGAAAAAATGGGGGGATAGGAAAGTAAAATACCTCTAAATTTGTTAATAACTATGCATTAGAATTTTTGATGTATTTTTGTTACCACCTTTGGAGTATATGGATAATTACTTTTCTTCAAATCATAAATAACAATACAAACTCCCTGCAATATATACCGAACTAAAAAAATTAAATTACACTACATCAGCATTCGTGTACCCAGTTCATTCCTATTGTGCCTCCTGTTACTGGTCATAGGTAAAGAAGTTGTATGAATGTCATTTCCAAAAAAAAAAAAAAACGTATACACGGTAGCCATTAAAAATGAATAATGTTTGTATGTGTCAAATACAGGAACTCTTAATATATCTTGGGATGTATTTGTTTTTAAGCAAGCTTTCAAGGTGTTTGTCCAAAACATGTCAATGCGATTAACTGTTAGACAAAATGCAATAAATCACATTAAGAGCTTTAATAAGAAGTCATTGTAGGAAATAGATGAAAGATGGTTGAAGTATGTTTATATTTTGATCGAACAATAATGCCTTACCATAATAGGGTGAAAGTTTGAAAATAAAATATTTCCGACGAATATGACTGCTTTTTAATGTTTTTGGTGTTAAGGAAAGTCGATGGTAGTGTATTGAAGTAACAGAATTTAAACTTGCGGTCGGCTTGAAAATATATATATCAAGAAAATTTTTGTTTTTATTTCTTTATGTAGATTTACAGAAAATTATACCAATGTAGTATTTTTGTTTTTAAAATATTTTCATCTAGAAATGTCATTTTTTTTTATATGTAAAGTTGAAGTTAGTGCAAAATTTGTTTTATGTTGCACTTCTATTGAAAACCCAGAAATTTGAACCTGACATTACAATAATATGACTGAATATAACAACAAAATACACTGTTGAAGAGTGATTATTTTAACGTGTCACAAATTATTATAGAAACATGAAAATTCACCTGACCATTGAGTTAAAAACTTCAATCCTCTCTTATATTCATGGTTGTTTTACTGTGATTAACTTGAAATAAATTTGCAGTTTGAATCTAACTCATTTTACAGAAGAATGTTAACCGTTACGTTTTTCATTTTGTATTACATTCTTTACATAAAAAATCTTTAACATGAGAATTAACACTGACCCAGTTCATAGTTAACTTTCTCACAACTATAGGTTATTATAGATGGCGTGTGCCTAAAAGAAGAAGAAAAAAAAGAGTTAATATTTCTTTGGAGTTTCACAAGCTAGTCCTATATATATTTTTCTCAATCATTAACTTGCAAACATTCCACTCATTCAACAACCTTCAAAACTTGGATCTTATCATCCCTAACATATCAAACTGCATAAAGCCAGGGGTTCATGAACTTAATTATAAAAAAATTTTAACAGTCTTTTAACAAGTTGATTCAATGTCATCACATCTGTAATGAAAACAAGGCTTCAGCAATTGGGTAATGTTCCATAGGTTTATTTTTAGATGCAGATACCTGTTTTAATATTTCATTTGTTATGTGAAACTGTGCAGTTTGAAGAAGAATATCTTTAACCATCATGGTACTAATTCCAAACTTGACCAAATATGCTTTCTGTGGTTAAAACGAATGTTATGTGTTATGTTCCATATATATGTGCCAATGACAGTGAAAGACTTAGATCAAGATTAAACTTACCTGTGGTATTTCAACTAGATAATTTCTTTCTATAAGTGAAAATAACTAATACTTGCCTTTCTTGAGAGTACAGTATATTAATGTAAAAACATTTTTTTCCTGTTAATGGATTTTTCTTTACATAAGATTGCTTCCCATATCTGTGCTTTCAAACAGTTTATACACTTCTCTCCTACTTGTGTACATATGATTTTATAGTTACAAATGTGATTTACAGTCAATTTCTGTAAAATAAATCGTTGCAAGAAGATGATTCAAGGTTATAAACTGTAATCCACGTGTAATTGTTACTTGCCCAAATAACCAGTAATGTAAAAGCACTGTTCCTACTGGTTTAAAAGTAAATTTTTCTAAAATATTTGTTTTATCACTATGCCACAAGAGCGCTGTGCTAAAAGTTTTTTTTTTAATGTGTTTTGAGCAGTGAATTAATTAAGAAAGAAATATGTTTAGAATTAAACAAATTGCTGTAGAAACCGGGGTGAAGGTTGCTAGAAATACTAGAGAAGAAATCTAAACATAAACTCGTAAGAACTTCTTAAACAGAAACCAGAGTAGAACTGATGATTAACATTTAGGCTGACTAGAACAAATAACATCTAAATCTCCAGCTGTACCTAGGTTTGGTTGAACAAATTATTTTTGAAAGAAATCATGCTGAGGATATTTAAACAAAACAACTTGGGCTTCATGAAACATCTCGACCCTTGAATAACAACGTGTAACAAGTCTGAACAGTACGTCAGTGAATACTAGGATTGTGCGTAAAGTCTATATTGGCACAAGTTTTAAACAGCAATTGTGGATTTAGTAGACCTTGATTTTATGAAGAATCATGGACAAACAAACTCGTACATGTATACAATATCTTTTTTTTTTCTATTTCTTATAACATTAAATCTAACTTGAACATAATCATTCTTAACTGTTTACCTCTCCAGCCAAATTTTCAAATAATTCAAACTAGCTGCACAGTAAGAGTAACTTCCCTTTGCTGGGACGTTATGTCTACCTGCTGTTTGCATCCTTCCCTCTTCTTTCTTCACCTCTGGGGATAATGTCCCAACTTTCATTAACAAATCTGGACAAACAATGCTATGGAAGTAAATCAGCATACGATTTTCCTCAAATAATGAAATGGTTTGCATAGGCCTGGAAAACTTAAATTTTAATTGAGTCCAAAAACTCATCCTCGGGGTATTGTCTCCTTGGTATCTTAACAACAGTTAATTCCTCACAGTTTTGGCTGTAATGGCCAGGATTCCTATATCTTAAACTATTTCCTCTTTCAGGTATCCATTGGGAGGATTTCTTATTCCATACAAACTTTTGTCTGCAGTATTTACCCTT